GCTGGATCAATTTTGCCTTGAAGAATGGGCAAAAGTCCCAGTGGCTAGATGTGCCAAGCTTATAGAGACATTTTTATATTTTTATATTTTTCACCTTTATTTAACCAGGTAAGCCAGTTGAGAACAAGTTCTCATTTACAACTGCGACCTGGCCAAGATAAAGAAAAGCAGTGCGATTAAAAACAACAACAACACAGAGTTACACATGGGATAAATAAAACGTACAGTCAATAACACAATAGAAAATCTATAAACAGTGTGCGCAAATGTAGTAAGTTATGGAGGTAAGGCAATAAATAGGCCATTGTGCAAAATAATTACAATTTACTATTAATACTGGAATGATAGATGTGCAGAAGATGATGTGCAAATAGAGATACTGGGGTGCAAATTAGCAAAATAAATAACAATATGGGGATGAGGTAGTTGGGTGGGCTAATTACAGATGGGCTGTGTACAGGTGCAGTGATCGGTAAGCTGCTCTGACAACTGATGCTTAAAGTTAGTGAGGGAGATAAGTGTCTCCAGCTTCAGAGATTTTTGCAGTTCGTTCCAGTCATTTGCAGCAGAGAACTGGAAGGAATGGCGGCCAAAGGAGGTGTTGGCTTTGGGGATGACCAGTGAGATATACCTGCTGGAGCGCATACTACGGGTGGGTGTTGCTATGGTGACCAATGATCTAAGATAAGGCGGGGATTTTCCTAGTAGTGATTTATAGATGACCTGGAGCCAGGGGGTTTGGCGAATATGTAGTGAGGGCTAGCCAACGAGAGCGTACAAAAACTGAATAGTGATGCACGCTCAAGTTTTCAGTTTTTTTGTCTAATTTCTTGTTTGTTTCACAAGAAAAAATATTTTGCATCTTCAAAGTGGTAGGCATGTTGTGTAAATCAAATGATACAAACCCCCAAAAAATCAATTTTAATTCCAGGTTGGAAGGCAACAAAATAGGAAAAATGGTAAGGAGGTGAATACTTTCGCAAGCAATTGTATGTGTGTGTATATATATGTATGTACATACAACTTAGCCAAATATATTTAAACTCAGTTTTTCACAATTCCTGACATTTAATCCTAGTAAAGGTCAGTTAGGATCACCACTTTATTTTAAGAATGTGAAATGTCAGAATAATAGTAGAGAGAATGATTTATTTCAGCTTTTATTTCTTTCATCACATTCCCAGTGGGTCAGAAGTTTACATACACTCAATTAGTATTTGGTAGCATTGCCTTTAAATTGTTTAACTTGGGTCAAACGTTTCGGGTAGCCTTCCTCAAGCTTCCCACAATAAATTGGGTGAATCTTGGCCCATTCCTCCTGACAGAGCTGGTGAAACTGAATCAGGTTTGTAGGCCTCCTTGCTCGCACATGCATTTTCAGTTCTGCCCACACATTTTCTATAGGATTGAGGTCAGAGCTTTGTGATGGCCACTCCAATACCTTGACTTTGTTGTGCTTAAGCCATTTTGCCACAAATTTGGAAGAATGCTTGGGGTCATTGTCCATTTGGAAGACCCATTTGCGACCATGCTTTAACTTCCTGACTGATGTCTTGAGATGTTGCTTCAATATATCCGCATAATTTCCCTTCCTCAAGATGCCATCTATTTTGTGAAGTGCACCAATCCCTCCTGCAGCAAAGCACCCCCACTGCATGATGCTGCCACCCCCGTGCTTCACGGTTGGGATGGTGTTCTTCGGCTTGCAAGCCACCCCCTTTTTCCTCCAAAGATAACAATGGTCATTATGGCCAAACAGTTCTATTTTTGTTTCATCAGACCAGAGGACATTTCTCCAAAAAGTACAATCTTTGTCCCCGTGTGCAGTTGCAAACCGTAGTCTGGCTTTTTTATGGCGGTTTTGGAGCAGTGGCTTCTTCCTTGCTGAGCAGTCTTTCAGGTTATGTCGATATAGGACTCATTTTACTGTGGATATAGATACTTTTGTACCTGTTTCCTCCAGCATCTTCACAAGGTCCTTTGGTGTTGTTCTGGGATTGATATGCACTTTTCGCACCAAAGTAAGTTCATCTCTGCGTGGTCCCATGGTGTTTATACTTGCATACTATTGTTTGTACAGATGAACGTGGTACCTTCAGGCGTTTGGAAATTGCTCCCAAGGACAACCAGACTTGTGGAGGTCTACAAAAAAATGTGAGGTCTTTGCTGATTTCTTTTGATTTTCCCATGATGTCAAGCAAAGAGGAACTGAGTTTGAAGGTAGGCCTTGAAATACATCCACAGGTACACCTCCAATTGACTCAAATGATGTCAATTAGCCTTTCAGAAGCTTCTAAAGCCATGACATCATTTTCTGGAATTTTCCAAGCTGTTTAAAGGCACTGTCAACTTAGTGTATGTAAACTTCTGACCCACTGGAATTATGATACAGTGAATTATAAGTGAAATAATCTGTCTAAACAATTGTTGGAAAAATTACTAACTGACTTGCCAGAACTATAGTTTGTTAATGAGAAATGCATGGAGTGGTTGAAAAACAAGTTTTAATGTAAACTTCCGACATCAACTGTATATGCGAGAGAAAAAAAACATATGGGGGATTGGAAGTGATGCAGACAATTACATTGATGGAAGTTACAATCTTTCTGCAATATTATAGCTGATCTACACCCCCCCAATTTGAATATGTGTACCGTTACACCCCTACGGGTGACTTCTGGGTTGAGTTTTGTTTGGTTGGTCCCCGCCACAACCGTGTCCTCGGGCTAAAGAAGCAATCTGCTCCTTTCCAAGTGTTCACAAGCCACCCCCTTCCCCCAGCTTCCCTTTCTTTGAAATGAACATCCCATCTGTTGTGACATAAGTCTGAATGTATCCTATGGAATAGCAACACATTGGTCACATTAATTGTGATTTGTGGATGATTGTTTGTTTTTATTTAACATAGTTCAAAAGTCTCTGACGTCTGTCTCGTCTGTGCAAGCACTTGAGTGAATGGGGCAATAGGAAACAAGACACCTGTTGCTTGGTATTTTAAGTTGTTATGCGCCGCCACCGCTCATGTTAAGGGCTCCGATATGGCTTGACTAGCGACGACAGGGCACTGTCAGGACAGGAGCAGACATGCTCCTATCAGTCTCTGATGTCGCCTTCCTAGGGTGGCTTTCTTTTAGACCCTGTTGCATGCTCAGTCTCAGGACACACATACACAGTGACATCTGGTTCCTATTGTACCCTGTATAACCCTGAAGCCAAATGAATGGGACTTCATGAGAAATTATGGTTTTGGTTGAGTGATCAGACAGCCTTACCTCTTGTTTGAAGCAGATGTTAATTTGTCAATCAGATAGTTATGAATTTTGCCTTTAATAATTTGCTTTTGTGAACTGTGTGGACAAAATTGAATCTGAATTCAATGATTTTGAATTTGTATTCATAAATTGAATCTGAATTCAACCATTTTGAATTTGTATTCAGAAATTGAATTTGAATTCCATATGTTGGACTTTGTATTGCACAAGTTGATTCAATTTATGAATGCAAATTCAAGATTGAATTCAGATAACATTTCTGTTGGCACTTATCACTCCATAAATGGGTGTGGGTGAACTGACCAGTTAACCTTAGTCAGAGGCTTTAAAGTTGATGCCTGCTGAAGCATTTTCACGTTTCCCCACTTCTTTACCTATGTCTTTCCCCTAGATTATTGTACAGGGGTGGCGCAAAGGCCCCCAAAGCAACATCCAAGCCAACAGATTTGGGCAGGTGAAGCTTCTTAGCACCACATCCACCTCTGATAAGCAAAATGCTCTAAAGATAGCCAACGAAGCGTCCAAGTCTTCTTCTCGGTCATGTTCATTAGGGCACGCAACAGAAAACATTTTGAAACGCTTTGCAACTGAAAACGAAAATGAGCGATTCTTACTGGACAAGTGAACAAGACCCTGAACTTAATTTCACCTTAGCCATCTACAGGAAAAGTGAAAGCCTCCACTGTTTGTGTATTGTTGGGGGGAAAAAACTAACAAAAACTGCCAGGATATTTACAGTCAACTCCCTCCAGCATTCTTTGAATACAGATTACTAAGAATTGCTAAGCATTACCAAAATACACGAGTTCGCATAAGCAGTCCTATGCATCTGGGCTCGTATTCAGAAAGCATCTCAAATCAAATAAAACTTTATTTATCACATGTGCCGAATACAACAGGTGTAGACCTTACCGTGAAATGCTTACTTACAAGCCCTTAACCAACAATGCAGTTCAAGAAAGAGTTAAGAAAATATTTACCAAATAAAGTAAAGTAAAAAAGAATGAAAAGTAACACAATAAAATAAGAATAACGAGGCTATATACAGGGGGTACCGGTACCGAGTCAATGTGCGGGGGTACATGTAATTTGTACATGTAGGTAGGGGTAAATCCTCTGACTAGGAGTGCTGATCTAGTCCATATACTCTTATTCATTACAGTCTAAAAGGCTAAACTGATCCTATATCAGCACTCCTACTCTGAAACTTTGTGAATACGGGCCTGAACGGTCCAACCTGCTAACAGTAGTGGTTTCTGGTTTTGTTTGTCTTTGCTTGGGGTCAATGTTTTTGCCCTTTTCTAGTAGAAAGAAACCTGTTTTAGGCTTTGTTTAGAGCCTGGTGTTTACCAATACATTATGAAGTGACAATGAAATGTGATTTAAAGCAGTAAAATAAAAGACTTCTAAGGTAATTGACATTCACACACTCACCACTTAACATACAAAGCAAACAATAGAACCAAAACTCCTTAGCTAGCGACCAACATATGAGGCAGTCTAAAAAGGGTCATGGTCTCTTGTATCACAGTGTTTTACATTACAGCTTTGACGGGAAGGGTAAGAGTTGAAGGGATAAGTCCCTATGGGCTCAGGTCAAAAGTAATGCACTAAATAGGGAATAGGATGCCGTTTGGGACGCAGCCTAAGTCTGAGACACTAGGAGAGTTTAAATGGTGAGAGGGAATACCAGAAAGGACACTTCCCCCATCTGTGATGTCATGTCAGTGCCATTACACTGACTTTCTACAGCTGTGCACAAGACATTCGTCTGACGTGTGTGTGTGTGTGCCTACAGATGTGCCGGCCTGGCTGAAAAGCCTCCGTCTCCACAAGTATGCGGCTCTCTTCTCCACCATGACGTACGACGAGATGATGTCACTGACCGAACAGCAGCTGGAATCACAGGTCAGTAGCAACAAGGAATACCTAAGGAAACATACTAGGAACGTAACGGCAATTTTAAGGAATTGTTACGGTAGTGAAAGTCTGTCTCCTGTTTCTAGTACTGTACTTTTGTTGTCTTCATCAAAGAGCTGATAGACATGAACCGGTATTTTAAGAGTTGTAACAGGATGTTATAAAGGCTTGTTCATGCTTATAACAAGTTATAAAGTATTATAATGGCAGTAAAGTGATTCAGAAATGTTTAGTAGAACACGTTGATTAATTACCCTTTTCATGATGTATTTATTTAACTTGTCGTTGGTGTGTGTGTGGTGAAGGAATGTTGAAAGAGTGAAATGATATTTATTTTTCTGCAGAATGTCACCAAAGGGGCGCGCCACAAGATAGTCATCAGCATCCAGAAACTGAAGGAGCGCCAGAACATGCTGCGCTGCCTAGAGAAGGTCAGTGGTGCAAGCTGTCAACTTCTTAGGTTGAGGAAATTGTCACGAAGCTTCGACAATGTCTTGCTATTCAAGTGAGGCCCAATCCCAAATCAACCCCTAAACCCTACTCCCTATGCACTTGTTGAGATCTAAGAAAATGTGATAGGTGTAAGTAATATGGTTAAGTGAGCAATATTACCATATTGCTTACACCTGTCAAATCCTCTCAGATCTGTGACAGTCGGGGTCAATTTGGGATTGGGCCTGAGTGACAAAGGCAGACAATTGGGGTCAGCGTTTCACTTCCTGTCTAAAGGATCGGTCAACTGAAGTTAGGACAGTCGCTCGTTCTCTTTTTCCTCTCCTCGTCTCCTTCCTTTCGTCTCTGCTGAGTGGAAAAGACTTGACAGGTAAAAACAATATGTCTGAAAACCTGACTAGCTGTCTAATCATGAGGTAGAGGTCCAAGTGAGAGACCTTGGATCCTTTCATTTCGCTTTGAGAGGGAGGGAAGGAATTGAGAAAACGAGGCTGGAGGAAGCAAAGATTTGACTGCTAGTAATATTTTTAGACATAGCCACAGTAGCTCATCATTTGATGGTTCGCTCACCTGTCAGTTATCTTAGATCAGTACAGATGAAGAGGACACAGGTAGAGAAATACTTTTTAGACTATTGTGAAAGAGGGTCCACTTATCCAGGAAGATAACGTTTGGGACTCGGACAATGGCTGTCAAGGTCACAGCGGGGTGTCTTCTCTTCTTGTGCCATCTAATTTCAGGCCCGACCTTTTCACCAGGGGCTCTTGATTCTAAAATTTGCTGCCGTGTCACATTTGTATGGTTGGGGAGAGAAACAAGACACCTGTTGCTTGGTATTTTAAGGGCTCGGATATGGATTTGACTACCGGCAGCAGTACGGGACAGGGGATCAGAGGATGTGTCCCAAATGGCACCCTATTCCCTATAGTGAACTACTTTTGGCTCTGGTCAAAAGTAGTGGGGCTCTGGTCAAAAGTAGTGCACTATATAGGGAATAGGGTGTCATTTGGGATGCAGGCAGACAGGACAGGAGTGAAACATGCGTGTATTTTTGGAATTGCTTTATTTTTCCTCGTCATCATATGGCTGGTGAGCGTTTCCTCCCTTTCATGTCCAAAATATCCCGCCGCCCGCCTGACAGCCGCTGTTGTAGAAAGGACTCTGACGGAGACTTCTAGAATGATCCTCCTCTGAATAGGGCTATGAGTATTTGTATCCCTTACTGTAACGGTCCGGAACTGTTAAAGAAGTATAATAGATCATGCTGACTAATTTCCCTTTTCTCTTCTCTCTGCTATACCTCCTCCTTCTTTGTTCTCCCTCCTCTCTTTCACCTCATCTTTACACCTTTGTGACCTCTTGCTCCTCTTCCTTTTCTCTCCCGTTCCTTTATTCTCTCTTTCTATCACTTTGTCTCCTCCCCCTTCCTGTTCTCTCTATCACTTTCTCTTATTCTCTTCATTTTTTCTGTCCTCTCCCAGGACGTGTTGGAAGGGAGTAACCTGCGCGCCCCTCTCGCCGAGCTCCACCAGATGATCCTGACGCCCATCAAGGCGGTGGCCAGCGATGAGTCGTCCCCCTCCTCGCCCGCGCAGCGACCCCTGTTGAGCCATGAGGGGAAGAGCAGCGCCGCCCCGGGCTCTCACCTGGCCCCCGGAGGAGGGGAAGGGGAGACGGGAACCACCGTCATCGCGGAGGGGGACATCCCCGGCCAGTTCACCCGCGTCATGGGCAAAGGTACAGAGGATCTAGTCCCATAGATTGGGAAGTTAAGTTGTTGTAACGTTGTCATACACGCATCACATTTGTGTGATAGACTGCACAGAAAGAAACCAAACACCTGGGATCACCATGTGGTCACTATTTAACTCAAAAACCATTTTCATATATTTTCATTAGTCCACCATTGATATGGTCCCAAATATTATAATTTTGCACATTAGAGCATCAGAGCTAGCCTAATAGGAAGCCTGTGTTGACTTTCTGGAAAGGTCTCATGATGATGCAAAACACAACTTCATAAGGCTTTTTGCGTTTACTTATTTTTGGGCATTAGGAGACTGAAAGCGATATAACTTGAAAACGGAATGTTGACATGCAAACTTTTATTTGACTATCAAAATCGGACTAAAAACATACTAAAATAAAGAACTGTAAGACAGCCCTTAGCCATGGTATATTGGCCATATACCACACCTCCCTGGGCCTTAATGCTTAATTCAAGTATGTGGGCGTTTTGGTTTCTTGACTTCCAGTAGATTTCCCTTCCTCTCCATAACCACCTCAGTGCTATGTACTGAGCAAACAGTGGACATTTTGGAAGAATATGGAAATCAGTGTGGCCACGTTTCCCCTTGCTCAAACCCCGTCTGTGTCCTTAAATCCCCCTGCTTTGGGGAAACTAACTCACCCTCTCTCTCATCTCTCTTTTTTGGTCCCCTCTTTCCCCCTCCTTTCTTTCTCTCGCTCTCGCTTTCTCTCTCGCTCGCTTTCTCTCGCTCTCTCTAGTTTGCACACAGCTCCTGGTGTCCAGGCCAGATGAAGAGAACATCAGCTCCTATATGCAGCTCATTGACAAGTGCCTTCTGCACGAGGTACACACACAGAGAGAGACAAATGACGATACTTTTCTTTATACAGTTCTCCAGAACCTTATTTATCTAATGGGTGAACGTATCACATTTGTGTGGTGTGTGTGTTCATAACCTCACAGTATTTTAGACATATATTACATTCTGTATCAGCTCAAGTGTGAAAGCTGGATATTGGAAAATGTAAAAAAGACAAACAAGTATACTGAACAAAAATGTAATGGTTACACGAGGTCAAATTCTCTAAAACGATGTTGGAGGCGACTTATGGTAGAGAAATGAACATTAAATTCTCTGGCAACAGCTCTGGTGGACATTCCTGCAGTCAGCATGCCAATTGAACGCTCCCTCAAAACTTGAGACATCTGTGGCATTGTGATGTGTGACTACTGCACATTTTAGAGTGGCCTTTTATTGTCCCCAGCACAAGGTGTACCTGTGTAATGATCATGCTGTTTAATCAGCTTCTTGATGTGCCACACCTGTCAGGTGGATGGATAATTGTGGCAAAGGAGAAATGATCACTAACAGGGATGTAAACAGATTTGTGCACAACATTTTAGAGAAATAAGCTTTCTGAGTGTATGGAACATTTCTGGGATCTTTTATTTCAGCTCATGAAACATGGGACCAACACTTCACATGTTGCGTTTATATTTTTGTTCAGTATATTTCCAGTGTAGTGGGGCCATAAAAATTAAATAAACGAACAAAGCTGAACTGCAAAACCCTGAGTTATGGTCTCTCTCCTACTCTTTGGCCATGCAACCTCTCCTTTCCCCTCCCCTCTCTTCCCCTTCTCCTCCCTCAGGCGTTCACTGAGACACAGAAGAAGCGGCTGTTGTCATGGAAACAGCAGGTGCAGAAGCTGTTCCGCTCGTTCCCCAGGAAGACCCTCCTGGACATGGCGGGCTACCGGGCGCAGAGGAGGTAGATTAGACCCTACACACACACAGAAATTGATACACATAGACAGAGAGAAATTAAATATATACACTACTGTTCAAAAGTTTGGGGTCACTTAGAAATGTCCTTGTTTTCCATGAAAACATACATGAAATGAGTTTGAATAGGAAATATAGCAAATTGCATAGGAAATGTAGGCATTAGTCTACAGCAATTACAGCCTTGCAGACCTTTGGCATTCTATTTATCAATTTGTTGAGGTAATCTGAAGAGATTGGCTTGATGGGCACTTCTTACGTACCATACGGTCAAGCTGCTCCCACAACAGCTCAATAGGGTTGCGATCCAGTGACTGTGCTGGCCACTCCATTATAGACAGAATACCAGCTGACTGCTTCTTCCCTAAATAGTTATTGCATAGTTTGGAGCTGTGCTTTGGGTCATTGTCCTGTTGTAGGAGGAAATTGGCTCCAATCAAGCGCGGTCCACAGGGTATGGCATGGCGTTGCAAAATGGAGTGATAGCCTTCCTTCTTGAAGATCCCTTTTACCCTGTACAAATATCCCACTTTACCACCAGCAAAGCACCCCCAGACCATCACATTGCCTCCACCATGCTTGACAGATGGCATCAAGCACTCCTCCAGCATCTTTTCATTTGGTCTGCGTCTCACAAATGTTATTCTTTGTGATCCAAACACCTCAAACTTTGATTAGTCTGTCCATAACAATTTTTTCCAATCTTCCTCTGTCCAGTGTCCCAGCTTAATCTTTTATTTTTATTGGCCAGTCAGAGATAAGGTTTTTTCTTTGCAACTCTGCCTAGAAGCTCAGCATCCCGGAGATGCCTCTTCACTGTTGACGTTGAGACTGGTGTTTTGCGGGTACTATTTAATGAAGCTGCCAGTTGAGGACCTGTGAGGCGTCTGTTTCTCAAACTAGACACTCTAATGTATTTGTCCTCTTGCTCAGTTGTGCACCGGGGCCTCCCACTGCTCTTTCTATTCTGGTTAGAGACAGTTTGTGCTGTTCTGTGAACGGAATAGTACACAGTGTTGTACGAGATCTTCAGTTTCTTGGAAATTTCTCGCATGGAATAGCCTTCATTTCTCAGAACAAGAATAGACTGACGAGTTTCAGAAGAAAGTTATTTGTTTCTGGCCATTTTGAGCCTGTAATGGAACCCACAATTGCTGATGCTCCAGATACTCAACTAGTCTCAAGAAGGTCAGTTTTATTGCTTCTTTAATCAGCACAACAGTTTTCAGCTGTGCTAACATAATTGCAAAAGGGTTTTCTAATGATCAATTAGCCTTTTAAAATAATAAACTTGGATTAGCAAACACAACGTGCCATTGGAACACAGGACTGATGGTTGCTGATAATGGGCCTCTGTACGCCTATGTAGATATTCCATTAAAATCAGCCATTTCCAGCTACAATAGCCATTTACAGCATTAACAATGTCTACACGGTATTTCTGATCAATTTGATGTTATTTTAATGGACAAAGAAATGTCTTTTCTTTCAAAAACAAGGAAATGTCTAAGTGACCCCAAACTTTTGAATGGTAGTGTGTGTATGTGTGTGTGTGTGTGTGTGTATATACACACACACACACACACACACACACACACACACACACACACACACAGAGACGTACTAACCTCTCCTCCTCTTGACGCCATCTGTTCTGTCTCACCCACGTCTGACCTCTTTTCCTCTCTAGCCATTCTAGCTGTTTGTTTCAGCGTCACTTTTTATTACCGACACTTATTATCACCACCACCAATTTGTACCCAACGACTTCCTCGGCTAAATGTTTAAAAGGTCAAATAATGTAGCTACAGAGCCTGTTCTTGAGTGGCAACACTCCCCCCGCTCTTGACACAAATATGACTCCACTCCCTACGTCCACGGTTTCTCCAACATGCCCATCTCCTCAGTCAATCAAATGTATTTTATAAAGCCCCTTTTTAAACTAGCAGTTGTCACAAAGTGCTTTACCTCCTTTGATTCCTTTAAAAAAAAATGATGATCCAAGTGCTATTTCTCTCTCTCTCCCCTTGCAGCAGCAGCAGTAGCCGGGGCTTCGGCCAGTCCAACTCTCTCCCCACGGCGGGCTGCGTGGGGGGCAGCAGTAGCGTGTCGGCCCGCCGGAGCCTGCGCCAGTTCCAGATGCCCTCACGGAGCCTGCCCGGCGCCAGGCTTGGCCTGCTGGGCACCGCTGGCCTCCTGGGACCCACGCCACGCAGCGCCAGCAGCACCCCGACCGGTCTCAAGCAGGGACGACAGGTGGGGACACTTCTGACTGTAAACTTCTCCTAGGCACTTAGCCACTACCCCTAGCCTAGGCAATTGATGTAGAGTTCTTCTTTGGTGACGTTATATTGCAGAGTCTCCCTTTTAGGCAAGGACGGCATATGGGGATGCCCCGATCTAACCTTATCTTAGCCCCTAACATCTAGCCTCTACCCACATCGGCATCCTCAACGCAAATATTTGATTAATGTGTAGTGTCTAAAGTCTGAGTTAACCGCACGTATCCAGATTTTGGCCATTCATTTAGATTTGAAGGGATTTTTAAGGTGATGTTATATTGCTGAGTGAGCCTACCTTTTAATGGGAAGACATACTAATCCCTATCAGCTTCAGTCACAATTTGGTTCGCTACAGTAGTGGACAATGGGTAGTGATACAAAGGGTACCTACCAACATTATTGTATTCTCACTCTCAAGGGGTGCTGTGTATATGCCAATATACAGTGGGAGTAAGGAAAATTGAGAAAAACACTACTTGGTCAAGTGTCTGGATTCTGGAATCGTCCAACCATGCAGAGAAATAGTCAAACTCCTAACAATACCCTCTTTCAGATCTGTCCCAAACTATCCTTCCCTGTGAATTACATAGTTGTAAAAACAGTCATAGAAACAAATACAACCATAAGGGGGAAAATGCAACAGCAGAGGGAAAGAAAGGCAGCGTCAGTGGCGTGTCGGATGAAGTGGCTGGAACTTGTAGGCGGATCACGCATTCCACAGGCCCTACATCACTAGTGCTCATTGGAACAGTTCTCCACTCCGCAGCAGGGATAACCTGGCACTCGCACACGTCTGCTATGCTCCCACTCGGCATTTCTCTACGCATCCTTACAATGGGAGGAAATTCCAAACCGCTTCCTCCACAGTCCGCACACTCTCTCTGTCCGACCGTTTTTTGGGACGCGATCTGGAATGTGTGTATTAAAAGAAAGGAGGTAGGAGGGGGAGAGAGAGCGAGAGAGACTGGGGTGAGTCATTGTTAGGGCGGTGGTGGTGTAGGGGGAGGGGCGACGAGGAGAGGGAGAAAGGGAGGAGAAGGAGAGGGGAGCGAGTGAGGTAGTCAGTGGCAGTGAGAACAGTGCACAGGCATTTCCTGTTTTTCCCTGGCTCTCTGTATGGGAGGACCGGGAAAGGGGGAGATCGAGATGGACGGGGACAGAGAGAGGGAGTGGGGAGCGAGAGTGGTGAGGGGTGGAGGAGGAGTAGAGGGAGCGAGAAAGAGGGAGAAGGTTGAATGTATAATAGGCAGGTTACAGAGAGGAATCCGCATGGCTAAAGTGTCAGTAGTTTGAGGTTAAATGGGGAGAGAGAAAAATAGAGGGGAGGAGAGAGAGCGGGAGAACAAGAAAAGGTTGACTTTATAATGGCTCAGTAGTTATAGGCTAGAGAGGAAACATCTCTGGTGTGCCCTCCCCTAGTTTCTCCACACTTTTATAAAGCCCCCGCTGGGTGTGCATTTAGTTATGTGATAAAGTCCTAATTAATTACATTTTGAGGAAATTAATGTGAGTCCATTTTGATCAGAGTATAACCAAAATGTACATTGTTCATGATTTGAAATTGTAAACCAACAGGTCGTACTATTGGCCTATAAGTCATTCTGAAGTATTGTGAAATGTCATTTTGAAATCTAAATTAAATTGCACTTATTGAGTGAGGTGCTCTCAGTAGTGTGTCTAAGGTAGGGGTCTCAAACTACAATTTGAGGGGGCCAAGGTGGGGTGTGGAGGGTATTTCAAGTATCGCCAACATTGTGCAGAACTGTATATCATTGTATTACTTTGGCATCATAGGGACATTAACATATTTCCCAGCATTGTCTGTTAGTGGTTAGATTTGTTGCAGCCGTTATTGGAATTGTGCCAGTTTAGATGGTCTGTAATGATCCAAATATATATGACCTCTAGCCTCCCAGTGAGCACAAGACATTGAAAAGTCGTGGTTTCAATGTCTTTTCAACCAAAAATACGTATTTTTCAACCAAGCACAACGTCTTTTAAATGTCTTCTGCTCATGCTTCCTGCTCTGCCTTTCGAAAGTTTTTGAAAGCCAAGTTAACAAACAGATCACCGACCATTTCAAATCCCACCGTACCTTCTCCGCTATGCAATCCGGTTTCCTAGCTGGTCATTCAGCCACGCTCAAGGTGCTAAACGATACTATAACCGCGATCAATAATAGACAGTACTGTGCAGCCGTCTTCATCGACCTGGCCAAAGCTTTCAACTCTGTCAACCACCCCATTCTTATTGGCAGACTAAATAGCCTTTGTTTCTCAAATGACTGCCTCGCCTGGTTCACCAACTACTCAGATAGAGTTCAGTGTGTCAAATCGGAGGGCCTGTTGTCTGGACCTATGGCAGTCTCTATGGGGGTGCCACAGGATTCAATTATTGGGCCAACTCTTTTCTCCGTGTATATCAATGATGTCGCTCTTGAAACTCTCCTTCCAGACTCACATTAAGCATCTCCAATCCAAAGTAAAATCTAGAATCGGCTTCCTATTTCGCAACAAAGCCTCCTTCACTCATGCTGCCAAACATGCCCTCGTAAAACTGACTATCCTACCGATCCTTGACTTCGGTGGTGTCATTTACAAAATAGCCTCCAACACTCTACTCAGCAAATTGGATGTAGTCTATCACAGTGCCATCCGTTTTGTCACCAAAGCCCCATATACTACCCACCACTGTGACCTGTACGCTCTTGTTGGCTGGTCCTCACTACATATTCGTCGCCAAACCCACTGGCTCCAGGCCATCTATAAATCACTGCTAGGCAAATCCCCGCCTTATCTTAGCTCATTGGTCACCATAACAACACCCACCCGTAGTATGCGCTCCAGCAGGTATATCTCACTGGTCATCCCCAAAGCCAACACCTCCTTTGGCCGCCATTCCTTCCAGTTCTCTGCTGCCAATGACTGGAACGAATTGCAAAAATCTCTGAAGCTAGAGACTCTTATCTCCCTCACTAACTTTAAGCGTCAGTTGTCAGAGCACCTTACCGATCACTGCACCTGTACACAGCCCATCTGTAATTAGCCCACCCTACTACCTCATCCCCATATTGTTATTTATTCTGCTCATTTGCACCCCATTATCTCTATTTGCACATTATCTCTTGCACATCTATCATTCCAGTGTTAATACTAATTGTAATTATTTTGCACTATAGCCTATTTTATTGCCTTACCTCCATAACTTGCTACATTTGAACATACTGTATATATATTTTCTGTTGTATTTTTGACTTTGTTTTGTTTACCCCATATGTAACTCTGTGTTGTTTTTATTGCACTGCTTTGCTTTATCTTGGCCAGGTCGCAGTTGTACATGAGAACTTGTTCTCAACTGGCTTACCTGGTTAAATAAAGGTTAAATAACAAATAAATAAATAAATAAATAGGGCTACCAGTCTGTTGTGGCTGTCTGTGTGACAATCGGTTTGTCCAACAGGGTTTATGGTTTGCCAACCCCGGGGGCAGTAATAGCATGCCCAGCCGGACCCACAGCTCAGTGCAGAGGACCCGCTCCCTGCCTGTCCACACCACGCCACACACCATGGTCATGTTTCAGCAGTCTGGTAAGAAATCACACACACACACACACTCAGTTACACAATACATACACGTGCGCACACACTACTGTACAAGGTAGCCCCTCTCTCTTTCTCGTTTCCTCCCACTCTTCTTCTCTCCTTTTTGCATTGCCATCTCTCAATCTTTATAAGCACTCAGCAGCCTAGCATCCTCAGTACTACCTTCCTCTTTGTTAGCCTGGAGACAGATGCTGTAATGCCACAGGGCATCACACACACACTGCTCTCATCTGTATACCAATGCAGCACAACAGCCTTGGGTGAAGATCCCATTCAAGTCCAATGTTCTGCTCTGTGATGGCTAGATCCTTTAATTCTATTTTTACGCTGTAGCCGCGGGATAAACTGGACATCAATGTGACAGCAGGGATTTCCTCCTCCGGCCTGTCTTTCATAGGGAACCAAAGTGTATCCCCCCCTTTTTTAGAATGGAGAGGAAGAAGAAGGGAAGGCAGTTTCAGGGGGGAAGAGGGAACGCAGCCGTATGTGAGGAAGGGAAGGAGGGAAGAGTCAGTGGACTGTTACAATGAGCCTCTTTGTGCTGGGTGGCTGAGGTGCCCTGGCACCCTTTCCCTGACGCTCTCTCTTTCTCTCTCTCCCTCCTTCGTTCTCTCCCTCCCTTCAACAGCTCTGCAGAGTCATACACACTGCACATGCACTCAGGGGTGGCTGGAGTTGGAGCCGGGCCAGAGTATGTAGCTGCCTGGAAAGCTAGGCCTGGACTCGCCCTCTCTCAATCTCTGTCTCTCTTGCGCCCCTATTTCTCACACTGACGCTAGACAGATGAAATGATTGATTCAAACAGAGACTATACAGGGAGAATGATGGGATGAAGGAAGGGTGTGTGTGTGTGTGTGTGTGTGTGTGTGTGTGTGGAGGAGGCCTGGATTTGGGGCCTAAAAATAGCCAGTGGCCGACTGTTCTGTCTGGCCAGCCAGCGCGACGGCAAGTGCATAACTCAGCTCTTCTCTCTTTAGCCGCGTTGACGCCGCTAAAGGCAGGAGCAGCTTAAGGCTAGCCGTTAGCCTAGATATCCCCCTGTGATAGCTAGCTAAGGAGCTCACAGCTGAGCTGAGGGGGCTGCTTGGCTATCAAGTTAGCAACTAGCCCTCTGTCTCAGACAATTGCTTTAATGTTGTTGTTTTTTTTTGGGGGGGGTGAGTTTATGGGTCTCCCTCGTGGCAGAACAGATGACTTTGAACTTGAGAAGTACACACAGACCTCACACACACGCACCAAAGCACCCCAGTGCGAGTAACCCAAGTGACTGGGTATTGTATTGTATTTATGGTGTGTAATGTGGAGACAGTTGGTTAATTGGCGGTGTAGTGTAATCAGATTAAGCACGGCACACACGCCGTCGTTGAACGGAGGTCATTGTTACGACGCCCGCCCCGCAAGCAATGGGATTTGGAGCCCATGATAATTCACTCCTTTGTCTGCTGCGAATTCAGGGTGGTGATGTTAGGAAAGGTTAAAGTATTGTGTATTAGGATTGAGACATTTAGATGAACTTGATTTCAATTATTATTCGTGCTCAATGGGAGTAGTAGACTGTTATGTGGTATTTTGTGGTTTGTAGAGGACTGTGAAGAAATGGATCACATTCTTTTGATTGTAAAGTCTTTGCGCTATTTTCACAGTGGTTGTGTTGATGTTGTTGGAACGTTCTGGGGTCTTTCTCTGGCTTTTTATGTACGGGTATATACACATTTATCATACTCTTTCAGTTGTTTGTTTAGCTTTTTATGTTAGCTGAGCGTTCACAGTGGTTGTGTGTACGTTTTTGGAACATTGTGTTGTGTTCTCCAGGTAGTTGGTTGTGTGTACGTTGTTGTAATGTTGCAGTGTTCTCCAGGTAGTTGGTTGTGTGTACGTTGTTGTAATGTTGCAGTGTTCTCCTGGTAGTTAGTTGTGTATACGTTGCAGTGTTGTGTTCCGGGTAGTTGGTTGTGTGTACGTTGTTGTAACATTGTGGTGTTGTTGTCCAGATAGTTGGTTGTGTGTATGTTGTTGTAACATTGTGGTGGTGTTCTTCAGATCTCCAAGTGCCGGTGACGGAACCAGACATCAACAACCGGCTGGAGTCTCTGTGCTTGAGTATGACAGAGCATGCCCTGGGAGGTAGGAGCACCACAACCATCCATGAACACACACACCAGTTAACACTGGACTTCTTAGTCAATACACACATGCACACACTACTGTATCTACTGTACCACTTGGTTTAATCGCACTCACACACACACAGAGAAACTTGCACGCTTGCTCTCTCTCTCACACACACACCCCCTTTGTCCTTAGAACAGCCTCAATTCGTCGGGGCATGTACTCTACAAGGTGTCGAAAGGGTGGTGGACAATTCTTGATACATACGGGAAACTGTTGAGCATGAAAAATCCAGCAGCGTTGCAGTTCTTGTTACAAACGTGCCTGGCACCTACTACCATACCCCGTTCAAAGGCACTTAAATATTTTGTCTTGCCCATTCACCCTCTGAATAATCCTTATTTGACCTGTCTGCTTCCCTTCATCTGCACTGATTGGAAGTGGATTTAACAAGTGACATCAATAAGGGATCATAGTTTTCACCTGGTCAGCTTATGTCATGGAAAGAGCAGGTGTTCTTAATGTTTTGTATAATCAATGTATACACAATATTTCAAATAGTATTTGAGCCAATGTTTGGCTGTAGCCAGGGTGTGCCTCCATAATGAATCCACACGTAGTGAGGGGAGGGTGTAGAGGAAGGGAGATGGATAATCGCAGTAACCATTCCCATGTGAAGTGGAGTTTAGCTTTAAATAAAGGGGCTGTTTTTTCTCTCTCTCCGGCCTTGCCAGCACAGAGGCAGAGACGGTGGCCCTCAGTGCTCGGCGCAGAGCTAGGGTGGACAAGTGAGCCTTTGTGTGGGTGGACACACACACACACACACAGGCCCAGATCAGAGGTGGTTAGCTGAGGAGGGCCAGTCCCAGACTGGACCCTTCCTGTCTACTGTACCCCTCTGCCCCTCCTTTCTCTCTTTCTATAACATACTGAATCCACATAATAGAAATGACAACCGGAGTACTCATTGTGAATGGAATACCCCCGCGCCCTTATTTATAAATAGAGTAAATATTGTCCAATAGAAATCTCAGTCATGCTCAAACACAGCAATACAACGGCCAGCTCTAAAAAGACCAAACTCTCTCTTCTCTTTTGACCAATTTGACAGAAAGCTGCCAAGTCATTTCCCTAATATTGACATGCTTCCAGACCTTACCCTTTTATGCAGTTCTGTAGATCTGAAAGGATTGGATATCCAATATGGTGAACCTTTAATCTAGCCTATGACAGGGAAAGGTGGCGTTATTAGCATATTGCTCACTTCAATCCTTTTTCAGATCTCCCAAAATGCCCCAGGGGGTAAGGGTTAGGGGTTGGTGCATTTTGAAACTGGGCCTATATAAGACTCTTATGGAACCCTATTCTGTTTATAGTCCATTACTTTTGACCAGTGCCAATAGAGCTCTGGTAAAAGTTATTGCACTAGATAGGGAATAGGGTGCCATTTGGAATGTCATGAGACCCTCGACCACACACAGGAACTCCAGTAATAGTAAATCGTTCTATAAAACCCCTTGTATGTAATGCACACTGGTCCATAGGATGCATAACAATACATAGGATTTATTTATACATAGGATTTATATAGCTAGTTTCTAAGGCCTGAAGACACCTACGAAAGTCCATTTAACCCCCCCCCCCCCCATTGCCTTCGGTTTCTGGCACTGCTGGTCACACACACACACTTGCCGTAGGGCTCTGGTCAAAGGTAGTGCACTATGTAGGGAATAGGATGCCATTTAGGACATAACCCAGGTCCTCTCTGTTTGTCCAGACAGGCCAGATGCAACAGTTGTTTTTTGGCTTTGAAACATTCCATCTGTATTTTTCCAGTTGTGTTATTCTTATTCCTATCTGATGGTTTGTCCTATGTCCCTCCCTTCTGTGTGTCTAGATGGAGTCGACCGCACATCCACCATCTGAGAGTAGGACCTGAAGGAGACCCGGGGACAAAGAGCTGGAACAAAAATGCTCGCCGTGTCTTTCCTACCCCCCCCCCCCCCCCCACACACACACACACACACACACACACACACACCACAGCTAATGGGAGAGGTCAACCAAGGGGGTGGCTGGGATGCAAATCATACCACGGCGAGCCAATCCGTGAAAACTGCTAACAAATGGCTAACACAGCAGCACATTGGCATGTTACCATCACAACAAAACACGGCTACGCCCCCAGCACACTCATAAGTACCTGGGCTTCAGTGATGGATGACAAATGCAGTACAGCAGTGCAGACTCCTTTCCCCACCCAGTATAACTACCCACAACAGTGCCCGAGGAGTGCCCTCTGCTGGGCTGGGGGAGATATAGCAGCGCTGGGGGTCAGCATCGGCCAACAAACGATTGGCAGACCCTGGGCCCAGTTGAAGGGGGGGGTGGGGGGGTGCATTATGGGTACTGTAGTATATCATGCTACAAGGTTCAAGACTGTAGACTTCCCTTCTCCGCCCCCAGTCCCAGTTAAAGACCAGTAAGAGAGTTCCCATACCAGTTCACACCAGTCAGCATTTCTACTGGTCGTACCATATGATGTCTCACTGAGCCAAAAACAAACAAACAAGACATGTAAATGAACAAACAAAGTGGGACACATTGTGAGAGAAGCCTTGGCATTCATCCCACTGTTTGGGAGAGTTTTAGAGAGGAGGTTTTTCTAAAGACTCCTATGCTCTGTATAGGTGACAGAAAAAAAGCATTTTTACATGTATGTATTGTTTACATAAGATGCTACTATGGTACCGAAACATTTATACATTTCAGGTATGACTGTTATCTCTTATATTTTATTTTTTTAAATAATTGTTGGGAAAGTAGTGGCATACTACCGTACTAGTCGCTTAATAGGCTAACGTCTCACAGTAGCTATCATAGTTTACAACTGACTTGTTTTTTTGCTTTTTCTTTCTTTCTTTCTTTCTTTCTTTCTTTCGCTTACCAGCAGCCAAGCTGTGTGGAAATGAAAACGCTAAAAAGAGAGGGATGCAGTGGAAGTGTGTAGAAGGAAAAACCGAGGAGTCAGAAGAGATGGGAGGAGGGGAAATAAAAGTGGAGAGACACAGGATGGTCTGTGCCAAGTGATTTAGAAGGAGAAGAGGACGTTAGCGATGTCAGAGGCAGGGACTTTGATTTGAAACGAGAGGGACATTTTGTAGTAGTAGAGTTGTGGTAAAGGTAAATTAATGTTATAGACAGGTCAATATATATATCATCTTTTAGAATTCTTTAGTCTTTGTACCTGCAGACTCTGCATTGAAAGTTTATGCTGTTCATTTGCTTGGGTTGTGTCTGGATGTGGGAGCGAAGTTCCTTTGACGGGTGCATGATGTCGTGTGACCTAGTCTCTAATTAGGGCTAGTCAGTGCCGGTCAGGAGTATTTTCAATGGGTCTCATTGTGAAATAGAATGAGGATTACATGTGTGTTTTCAGTCCAAGGTAGGTACTATAGCGCTGCATGTTGTATGCTATATGCTCTCATCTTACTAGGAAGTAAAATCCGGTCAAAGATGTTCTGAATCAAGGAGAAAAGAGAGAACGCTAACCAGTGACGTACACAGAGGACAGGAGAATCAGGAAGTAGCTTTAGTGGATGTAAACGAGAAGGTTGCTGAGGAGGTTTCCTTTCCCTCAAGCAGCATAGCAACATCAATCCATGAAGGGTTTAAAACTATCCCCAAGATTTGTAGTACTTACCTCCACCTAGTGGCTAAAAGCAGTTAGACAGCCAGGCACTTGCAATTAGGCTTTTTGTACTTCAATTTCTTGTTAGTTTTTTTGTCTTAATATTTATCCTTGGTTCATTGTTGTCTGCATGACAGACTATAAATGTAGGTTCATGTTAAAATAAGCTCTTTAAAGCTGAGTTAGTTGAGTTTGGCTCTGTTGTTATTAGCCGCTGTATCACTGTCATACTTTAAGTGGGGTTCTTGTGCATGGAAGGTCACGCTAATGTATTGTGCCTGAATGGGCATCCTGATTTGGAGTGGTGTTTTGTGAGGGTTATTGTGCAAAAGTGTCTCGTTTTCTTGTTCTGCACTTGGTGTTGGATTAGCTGTAGTAAAATACCACATCAATAACAATGCCAATAGGTGCAGCAATAGAAATGGCAAGTATGTGCAATAAACAGTGGCGAGAGGCAAGTGGTTTGGAGAGGAAAGGTTAAGAGTTTTGCAGTTCAGAAAAAGGGACTTGACTTATTGTGGAAGTGAACTTGAGTAGTGAGATGAAACCAGCTTCATGCCAAATGCACCGTTGCTCGGCGATGGAGAACGAGAACACCCCATCCTCTGCTACAGTAACTACAGCCCACTCCCTAAGTGCGCATTGAACTGAAGCTTTCGGACTGAGCCATCTTGTCATAAAGTAGGGGTGACCCCAATCAAACCTCAAACCTGTAACCTGTTATTGTCAAAATGTAGTGATATTTCAGAGTCAGTCAAACGTCACTGCTTCAGGAAGTGTGCTCACTAAACACGCATGGCCTTAACTGGGACGGTGACAGGAATATTGCATAAAGCATGAATTGGCATGGACCCTTTTGTGGCATGGTTTTGGAAAATATTTAGTGTCAGCATTACAGTATGTATTGTTACACTGATGCAACATGGTAGTTAGATCCACTTGTTTCTGCCATATAAATCGATACTATTAGCAGATTCAAATTATTATTTATTCTTCTTTTTTTTTCTATTATTGTTGCAGAGGTGAATATTGTATTCATGTAGATGTATTATTTAAAGTACCATATGTATTAACTTGCTATGGCTGGTGACCATAAGTACATCTCAAATATTAACATAGTTATTTTTTTTGGAACTACAGTATAATCGCACATGTTGTATTTGATAGTGGAATAAAGAGACACTCAGTGTCTTGTTATCCTGGTTGGCCAAATGGCTGAACGTGGCCCTTTTTTAAAGCGGAGGAAGTCTGTTTTCAATATAAATGTTACTTCTCAATGCTCTGCTTTTGGTCACAAAGTTCACTTTTTGATTGAGCCACCAGCAAAACAAACAGGATAGGGGGCGACGACCCTTTTGAAACGTTGCCAAATAGAACAGGCCACGGTAACCCTTGATAGACTGAGATGGAGAGTCATTTCTGTGGGATAAGGCCCTTACTACTTTGTCAGGTGTTACACTTCGACTACGAGCATTGGAGGTCAAGGGATTCCCTTTGGGAATGGTCAACCAGTGCCTACCAAGCTAACCACCATCTGCATGCCTAGTGATGGCATCACAGTGGATGGCTAAGATATGTAGCCCATCCAAAAGACTGGCAACAACTGCAGGGTAGAGCATTCTAGGGTGGGACGTACACACTCACTACTGCCCATGAGGTTGTGTGTGTGTATAGAGTACACTACAGTATGTGCCTATGAGAGAGCGATGGAGCAGAGGCAGTAAACAGAAGAGTCGTGAATGTCATTGATATATTAATGCAACTGTGTGAGAAGTAGCCGGACGAGGAGTGGATCGGACTTTGACTCCTCTGGAAGCTGCTCACTTTGTGTAACACAAAGGGTTTCTTTTTTTATTTTCCAAAGTGCATCCAAACTCTATGGGGCTGGGATGAGAGAGATCCGCTGTACACACTGCAGTATTAACAGTTAGATGATAACCTTGATATTCCAAATATATTATTATTTAATTTAGTGTAAATGAAGACTTATGCTGTTTTTTTTTTTACTGAAATTGTTGTTGGTCATAGACTCTGCACATTAGTCAAATATCGCATCATTATTCGATGGCGAGACTCTCTTTTTTGTAAACTCGAAAGCATCCATACTGTAACAAAAGTTCTACAGCTTTACTGTGCTCTTTGTTTGTTTTGTTTTTGTTATCAAAGAGCCTATGTCCTGTATTGACTGCAGGCTTACATATATATTTGAAAAAAAGAATATCCTATGTTTAAGAAAAAAACGAAAAATCCCCCAAAAAACAAGAAAATTAAAAAGAGGAAAAAAGTAATTTATATTATAGACATGCACGAGGCTGGGAAGTCATATTTAAAATAACAAACGGCAGTGCCTTTTTTCTACTCGAGACATTTACCCAAAATGTAAATGACTGTAATAATATTACTAGAAGCAACCCAGTTAGAGCTGTGTTGACGGTCAAAATGGTGGCATCCTCCAAACTGCATACGAGCTCCTCTAGGACATTTTAAAACGTATCTTGTTGGTGTCACGTTGTAGACAAAAACAATATGAAACGCTTCTTCTGGCTGGCCTCGTGTTGTCAGCGTATTTTTTTTGATTCTGTAGGTACTTTTCAATGCTGATATGAAGTTATGAATTATACCTGTCTGTACAACAAACCGTATATGTTTTGTGTGTGTGCGCGTGTCTTGCTGTAACTGTATAAAATGCATCTTCTCAAATGTATCAGAAATGCTGCGACTTGGCATGGCCCAATCCAACAAAGGCTGTTGTTTTTCTTCCTTTGTTTATTCAACGGAGGATGACTGCCTCAGCTGTATGTGTGTGTTATACAGTATCAAGGGATTGTATGGTCACAATGCCCAAAGTTCAGTAACGCATGAGGGCTGACGGTCAGTTCAGAGAGACCTGAGGTCCACTGTACACTTCATAGATCAATATTACAACCAGAGTCTCTGTAGAGCCATTTAGAACTGGGCCAGTATTTACAAAATGTTTGAGTAGTAGTGCTTTTTAGATGCCTTCTAGATCATAATGAATACAATGATATGGACAGGGGGGACCTGATCCCAGATCAGCACTCCTACTGTGAGATACTTTTTTTAATTCGGGCCCTGAAGCCCGGCCAAAAGCCTGTCTCAGGTTCTGTGTTCCTGTAGCTACTTGCCTCGGGCAGGGTTTGGGTTTGGCTTGTGAGAGGAAATGTGGATGCTAATTCGTTCTGTTCTAAATGGATCTATGGAGACTCCTCTGTGTAAATGTATGTATTTTCATTTTTGTCTATATGGGAGATTGTGGTTGCTATCTATTC